CCTCCTTCTTCGATATTCTTTTTCCCTCTATTGTCATGTTTACCGTCTACTCGAACGGTCCACGAGGCAGCTGCCATTAAGCTGCCGGGAGCAGGACAGGAAGTTGACAGAGAGCAAATAGTTTATGAAAGAGACGGAAAAGGAATCTACATGGAAGAAAATATCCTCGGGTGGCGGTTCGGTTTGAGGTTTCGGTAATGTTACACAATTTGACATGAGTTAAATTTCTGATTTTACACTGTTGAAAATTTTTGTATGAATTTTCCGTTACAAATTCCGGAAATTTTTATCGTGTGCAAGTTTTACTGAAATTCCAGGAAATCTTGTCATTGAAAAATGTAATATTCCAGTGATTTTCTGTTCAAATGATCTGAAAATCAATAAAATACTTGATTTTTCAGGTCAATTATTCTGTGAAAATTTAGAAAAATCTGGAGAACTCCGGGAAAATTCAATAAAATTCAGGAATTTCCCTTTCGGTCCCATTGGAAACTCATGAATTTTCCTGAATTGTACTTAAAACTTGAAATTTCATAACCACTTTATCCCTAAATCCCATTCAATGTCTCTCTCCTGATATCTACTATAATATCTTCCACATTGAGAAAAAAACAGTTTTTTGGAAAATACGTCTTCACTTGTATCAAGAACATCATGGCTCGGAACATAATATCTCACACTGAGAAAGACTTTCGTCATGAGATTTTGTACTTGTCCCAAAGACGACGATAATTTTTTTATGACAAGAAAGAGGTTTCTTAAATCAAGTTTAGTTGAATGCTTTCATTCAACAGTTTTTCTGTCTCAAATCCAAAATATTTCAATTCAAAAACTACTTGACTTGCTTCGAGAAAGGACTTTCTTGTTGTGAAGAAAGTCCTTAGTTTTGTTCTTATCATTCGAATAAGTACAAAACTTCTTGCCGAAAGTTATTGTTTCCCAGTGTAAGATATTTTTTTCTTGTTTATTTTCCAGCCATGAGTTTTTTGATACAAGTAAATACATACCTCTCAAAAAACTTCATTTTTCCCAGTGTATGAAATTTCAAAAAATTCCTAACAGTGTAGAACGTACTTTGCTGCACGATACAATCGGCACACGGAGAGAAATATTCAATAAAAGTTACGTGTCTTTTCCATAATTCCGGAGCGAAATGTGGTTGTAGGAAATTTTACGGAACTGTCACGGAATTTTTCCAGAGCGTTCCGTAATTTTTATCTGAATCTCCTGTCAAAAATGACCCGTCACTTAAATTTTCTGAGTCGATTCCGTAATCGGTGAGCGAATTGTCAGTTCCGTATTTTTTACTGAACTCTTCGTGCATCAGCGTTTTTACCAAACAGTTCCCACCGCTAATCCTCTTTTTCACCGAGAAAATCAGGCAGACATTCCCTGATTCTCCAAATTCTGATCGCCCATTAAGTAGTAAAAAATGAATTGAACGGTTGGGGCAGGTCAAAGACCAATTAGCCAATCTGAATTCATTAGAACCACTCCAGACTGTTTGTGAGATCCGAATGGCTACTTCCCCCGGTAGCGGAATGCCATTCGTTCCGTGAATTCACCCGGCCTTATCATAATTTCGGGGATGAGTCGGTGCGGTGTATGAGCCAACTATCGCTTGGGTCTGCGCGAGCGACGGGCATCCGTGCGCCAAGCCGGATTAGCAGCCACGCCAAACTCACTCGGCAGGCATATGAACGGTTATCAGGACTGCTGGGGGGCGGGGAGACCGGGGCGATGAGTTGTACAGCAGATGAAAAGGGGACAGACTAGGAAAGGCCGGCAGTGAGAGGTAACGCATTGAACGAGAGAGGCACAACATTCATCATGGCATGGGTTAGCGGATTGCGATAGCGCCGCTTGGTTCACTAGAACACCAACGCATGCTTTCACCGAGTTGGATGAACACACTGAATGACAGTGGGACTATGCAACTCGGAGTTTGATGTATTCGGTGGAGGAGGGGGAATATAAATTTTTGATAATAGTCGTTCTGCTGGCGTTGCTTTGATTACAAAAAAAATGAGGGCCGAGTGTTCAAACGGCAAATGAATTTTTAGGGGTGGGAACAATTGGATTGGTTTTTGCCGATTTGATTGCAGGGAGTGCTGAATTTTTTTTATCCTGTTAAAACCAACAGGACTCATGGTTTATTCAATGGCTTTTGACAAATAGAGAGAGAAGTTTTGGGAGTTGAGGGGATTTAAGGAAATTCTGCAGTGATTTGGACAGGAATATTTTTTCTGCGGCAACTGCACTGTTAAAAATTTTCGTCTGAATTTTACGTGTCAAATTCTGGAAATTTTTATCATGTTTAATTTCCACTTAAATTTCAGGAAATCTTGCAATTGACAGATCGAATATTCCATTGATTTTATAATATTTTATTTTTCAGTTCAATTCTGCAGCGAAGTGATAAACTAGGATAAGTGCACAAATGAAACTTCTTCAGGAGAATTCCAATATTTAAGCACCTTTGACAGATCTTTCGATTCAAGCCATAAAAAAATTTTCAAAAAAATTGCACTTATCCTAGTTTATTGTTTGACTCAACTTGCACTTTTCAAATGAACCATTCGTTAACTATTAACGAATAATCGTCAATAGTTAACAAATCTCGTTTAGAATAAATTAATCATTCTATCAGTGCAGACAAATTCTAGTGCTAACACAAGAAATAGGCGCAAAGCACCTGCTACAGAAAAATTCTAGTGCTAGCCTTGGAAATTTGACTGGGTAGCATGCGAATTTTTCTCGTATTGATATGAAATTTTCGCACAATTTTCCAGAAATTTTACTTCAACAACACTAGAATTTTTCTAAGATATTTCTCTCCGTGTACTTGTTACAAGTAGGTTGATTATAACTACATGAATCTGGATTTTGGACTTGCTGTGAGCAGACAATTGAATAATCTACAGACAAAATCTTTCAAGTTCCCTCTAACCATTTTTTGAAATTCGACTAATAGCATTTGAATTTTCAATGAGAGAAATGCAGAAAAATTGACTTATTCATGTTTGACGGCCTTTAATTTTTTAATGACACATTGAATTTTCATTCCATTCAACTAAATTTTTCATAAATTGAAAATTGAAAACAATAGTCACTAATTTTTATTCCCATGTGGACCTGAAATTTGCAATTTCATTGCATATTCCAGGAATTAATTGATTTATCAATAACAACATACTTCAGAATTTAATGTAAAATAGTCGTTTTTGAAAATGTCAAGTTTTTTTTATTGAAATTTCAGCACGAAATAAATCAATCATCGACATGATTCAGTACTGCTTCGCTGACTTGATTAATTATTATAATTTTTCTTTTCAAGAGTGAAAAGTCCTCTTAACACTAATCTAAGATACTTTAATTGTTCCTAATTCCCCTAGGATTTCAGAGTTCTTTCCCTGATTGAAAATCCCATCCGTCCATTAGAATAATTCAGTAGTGAAGTGGTAAACGGAGATAAGTCGACTTATCTCCCAATTGAGTTTTTGAGGAATATTTCCGAATCTAAGGGAGATATCGAAATTTTGGTAATTATATTTGTTGTAGCACTCAATCGGCTCCACAAAAAAGGTTATAATAAAATTTTTGCTATCTTCCTTAGATTCCGAGATATTGATTGAAAACTGATCAATAGTTGAAATTGACTTACCTCCTTTTACCACTTCGCTACTGAATTCAAAAGTCCAAATGAATTTTGCCATTCCCGTTAGAAGATTCCCCCGGACAAATAAAAAAGTCATGGAGAGCAAGACGGGATTAAAAAAGTGAAGCGCGCTATTAGGTAGTAGGGATGAGCAATTAGACCGTAGAAGGCAAAATGAGCGACGAATATACGTATATCCTGTGTATTTATGCATAACCATGCGCCGGGCGTGGACCACTTTTGGACTCGGAGGTCCGAGAGATTTAAAAGAGCGCCCCTGCTACAGGCTGGGCGGGATGGAACAGGAAAGGGGGAGGGTGTCATAGGAGTACACACGCCAACGGGCAAACGGTTTCATCAAGCGCTATACACGTATGCACTTGATGCGATGAATATGGATAAATGTTCGCCGTGTGTGTGGAAATTTTTGTCGAAATGTTGGTGAAAATATTATGCACACCGAGTTGAGTCAATGAGATCCACTCGTCAAGCGTCATCGTAGTCAATTATTGAAATGTATTATTAATAAGGTTGAGGTTTTATTTTCTCTCCGATTCATTTTCCTCACCGATGGATATTTTTGCTTGACATTTTGTTGTTGACTGGTGGAAATTTTTTAAAATTCGATTTTCATTGGAATTCAAGGGGATCTCATCATAGAAAAATTACATATTCTATTGATTTTTTCCATAATTGTCCAATGTCCATAAATGTCTCAATTTTAGCTTTCCTGGAAACACAGGAAAAATAATGTTTTAGTTTTGAAAGATATATCTATATTTTTTTTCAGAATATTTATCACTCATGGAGATATTTTACACTCACTAGAATGACCCAAAGCTGTCAGGAGTTCATCAATGACTTCGAGGGTTCAAAATCCTAAGATTTAGGATTATATCACTGACTATTAGTGATAAAATCACTTGATTTTAGGATTTTTCACTCGTTCAATTTTAGAATGCTTCAGATTCGTGATGTTTGATTTTAGATTTTGCGTGAAGATTCAATGAAATTCCAAATTTTTGAGCAGCACAAAGGACAATTCTCCAACTGACCAGATGTTCAAATCAAAACATGAATATTCAGTATCCAATTCCCCGAAATTTTCAATTAAACAAAAATTCAAGAATATATTAAACCAACATTTTCCTGATTTCTATTCATTTTCATTGAATAATCGAACTCAAATTCACAATTTCCACTGATTTTTACATAAAATTCTGAATTTTCAGTGACGAAATTCCTTGAAATTTCATTGATACTATAACATGATAAAAATTGTCAAGAAATATACCGAAAATTTCACCCAAAATTTTTAAACAGTATATTCCGTTTTTTGCAGCTTAACGATCACAGCTTCGTGTCCCATGAATCTCCAGTATTTCCCAATGGATCGACAACTGTGCCACATCGAGATCGAGAGTTGTAAGTAGACAATTGAAATACCATGCGATATTTTCAATTGCAATAATACTACCATACTTAATAATTAATGAAATATCTCTAATCCCCGCGGTTATCGATGTCAATTAACCATTGACATTCGTTACACACAACTACATTTGCAACAAAAATAATTCTCCTCCGCTTGAATCCTCAAATGGATTTCAACAGATATATTCAATTCAATTGCAGTGGATTTTCCCATTCGTCGGAAAATACACTCCCCCCTTTTTTCAGGTCAACGAAGCAAACCGATTCACACTCGGTCGATTGAAAAAAAACGCTTCGTTTTCCCTCATTCATTTTCTTCAGATATCCGTATGGAGAACCTTTTATCCTCTTCACTTCCCATTTTTTGTCACTCCCCTTTTTAAAGTTATACTTACACGCCTCTACCGTCACCCCTTTCCCTCTCCCCGTTCTATCCACCCATTCTTCGCGCTCTGATTCACATTTCTGCATCACTCAATCACTCAGAGTTCACAGATTCTACACATAAATATATGAATATTCATTTTTTTTCGTGTACAATGATATTCGAGATATTGCACCAGTGTGCAGCGAAATTCAGCACATGCTTTTATCACATATGAATACATATAAATCATTGAGAAAAAAAAATAGTGATTGACGACTACAACCAGAGAAATGACGCATTCGAATGAAATAAAACTTTTTATTTGAAATTTTCCTACTCATTTCAACAAAAATTTAAACATTCATTGATTACAAATAAATCCTTTAATAGAATCACAAACGATTTATTTGTTTTGTTGATAAATTTTTTTTTTCGCGGTCCAAATAATGATTTCATTTCTACCTAATAAACTCGTCATTTCAATCAACGAAAAAGTCATTTATATTGGAAGAATCATTCGAAATGAATAAAAATGCAAACCAATGTCAAGTTTATTTCCATTTATTCAATTCGAATAAATCGAATTCGAAAAAATCATTTCCCTGGATCAGATTATTTATTCAAACTAAATCCATATATCCACATTTAATCACAAAAACTGATGAAATTATTCACAATAGAATGTAATAAACCGACAAATTAATGAACAAAATACTCCTCAAATTTGATTTATGTTTCCTCCCCCGAAAGAACCCACAACATAAACATCAATCACCCCAAAACCCTAAAGCGACAAAATCAGGTCTGACAACACACTGAACTCACCCCTTGCATAAAGTCGAAGTGATTCCCGCTGCAAAAAAGACAATTTTTTATTTTGATATTCTCTCATCACGAGAAAAACATTCCAGAAATGACAACTCGTACATCTCCCGCATCCTTACCAAGTAGGAGGGGCTGAACTAATGAGACACTTGAACTACTTTCGGCCCTTCCTATCCACCCACTTCAACAATTTTTTTTCGCCCCCTTTCTTCTTACTCTCGGCATGATACTCACTGCGATTTGCAGCGGGCAATCTCCCGTCAAGTTCGACATAGTCGCGCGAGTGAAAATATTATAACTGGGGCATTTGCCGATCCCCCCTCAACTCATACATAACCTCACACACGAGATAGGGAGTATTCACGAGAAAAGACTTGGCTCCGAGTCTCAAGTGTGTTATTAAAAATTTCTTTATCCGCTAGACGTCGGAAAATTCATATCCCCAAGAGTTTTTCCTCAAGACCGAAAGGTTTTTTCAATGCATTCTATCTCGAAAAAGGGAAGGGGGAGGGGATTCATGAATTTTACTGGTTCACGTGAACAATTCGGAGGTAATTCACGAGCTGAGGGGCATCGGCAGTAGCCCCCACTGAGATTTACATTTTAATCCACCAAAATATACATTATTTATTTCATTAGAGGTAAATGCCAACTAGATTTGTGTAAAATTGTTATTTCTATGGTGTAATGCCAACATAATATGCAACCTCCGAAGGGTCTCCACTGTGTAATACCAATAACGGTCCCAGTGACGACTTAATTCATTCTCCCAACAAAGACGAGAGGAATTTCCACTCCTGCGCGAATTACAAATCTCAATTATTAATCCTTCAATCTTCCACTGAAATAGATGTGAAGAATAAAAAAATGAGGGAGAGAGAGAATTGACTACGTCATTGGGACCACGCAGCCCCTTTTGTACATAGGCCGTTGAATTACGCCAACAATTTTGTTCATTAATTTAATTTGAAAATTCATTTTTCATTAATTATGCCACAAATACAAGCAAATGGGATAAACTGAATATTTTAAATAAAAGAAACAAAAGAATAATTTTGAATAATGCAGTACATGAGAGAATGAGAGAGCCCGAAAGGCATCCGACATACAGCACTGAGCCTCGTGTCTGGGGACGTTGGCCACTGACGACTGGCCGGCCCTGGAAGGAGCCTACGCAATATAAAAATAAATATATTTACAATAAAATAAATGCCGACTGACAGATATCCGTGAAAGCCGAATTCTGACGCATTGTGCATCTAGCCAAAGCGCATGCGTGAATATAAAAAAATTAATTAACTGGTAAATATTATTTGGTCAACTGTTACCTAAGTTCTAACAACGTGATCTGTTTTAGATATTAATTTAGATTTAATCAATATCATTAGATGTTTAATTTTTGGCTCCCAAGTCGGCATGCTGTAGTTCATTAAGGGGAGACTACTGTGAGTGTCAAATGTCGCGGGCCGTTGCAGTGAAGCTTTTCATATATTGAAGATCGATTATATGTTTAAAAATAAGTAATTAATGCAAAAAAATTGTTTACTGTTGGTTTGCCTTGTAGACGCTTAAAATGTTTAAAGTAGTCCACACTGTTGGGAAATTGCTCTTGAAATTTCAAATAAAAAAACTTGAAATTTTTAAGAACACTGAATTTACATGAAATTTATCTCCACTTTGTAAACTAAAAAATCAGATAACTTCATTGAATATTCAATGGAATTCTAATTTCCCTGTCCATACGACAAGGAAAATTATTTAAAATAATAAAAATTCAGGCCATTATTTTACGGGATTCTCCATTTATTGAAAATTCAATTGAATTTAATATTCAATTTTTATAATGAGGTCTAAAATTCAAGCTGTCCTTGAAATGTCAATGATTTGTCAATGTCAATGTCTGAATTTTATTAAATTTTCAAGATGAATGGGAACTTTCATGAATTTTGCGATCTCAAATTAAATTAAACTTCACAACATTGAAAATTCAATTGGAATCGTTATTGAACAAATTTCAAACAATGCAATTTTCGAACTGCAGCGGTTTTTTTCAAAATTTATGAAAAAATGTGTACATTAACAATTACGAGCTAGTTTTTTGAAATTCGACTCCTACACAGCTAATTTCGTTTCTTTAATATAAAAAATTGCACTATTCATGTCAAATAGTCAGAAAAATATTTTTGAAATAATTGAGAATGTATTTTTAATATTTTGAAGATCATTTTTCTGGCTATTCCACATGAATGGTGCAATCATTTTAATTAAAAAAAATGAAATTAGCTGTGTAGGAATCAAATTTCAAAAAACTAATTCATTGTTTGAAAAAAAAACACCTCTATGGCTCGAAAAATTACGGCCCTGGACTATTTGTAATATTTCAAGCATCCGCGGGGCAAACGAACAATAAACAAATTTTTTGCATTACTTATTCGTTCTTAAACATTCATAATCGATCTTCGATGCATGATAAATCTCACTCCAATAGCCCGCGAATTAAAAAACTCATCGTGTCTCCCCTTAGAATTGACTGATTATTATCAATATTTCATTAATTAATACTTTAACAGATAAAAACTGTTCTTTATACGGACATTAAATCCTGAATTCATCGAAATGTCACCACCATTTTGATGAATGAATAAAAAAACCGAAGTAGTTTCTCTCCTCCATTAGAAATATAATTAAATTAAACTTGCTTGGGCTAATTTGTGCGGAGAAATAAACTGTTTTATTGGCCAGTTGATGGGTCTCACTCAATTTCAACTACTGGTCTGAGCAGTGGAGAAGAGAGAAACGAAAACGGGTTAAAGTTGCTTGTGCGAAATAACGTAGAAATTTAAACAAAGAGTTGCAGGGATGAGAGTGTCGGGAAAGTGATTCCCCTGGCTACTGGTGAATGCTGGTTTAAGTGGTACTATTCAGCCTGGGAAAGTTACGGGCATTCCCACAGGATGTTTTGAATAAATTGATGAGAGTAATTTTATTTTGTCAACAACCGAATCAACTGCGGTTGCATTATTCTGCATGTTTTGAATGCTTTTGGTGTCGATTCCGTAGTTTTTAGGGCTTTTGGGACGGCTGGGAACCTAAATTAATTACAGTGTATTGTTGAAATGGGGTGCACAGTGATATTATTGAAACAGTGAGTCAAAATGGATTGCTGTTTTTAACGAAGCAGATTAAAAATTGAAAAACAGGTTTTGACATTTTGAGCTATTATAGAGTTGATCGTTATCGACAGAATTTTACGTTTAATGAAAATGCGCAGTATTTGGGATTGCCAATTTTCCGTAATTGAGTGTGGCAATCGATACAGAAAATTATTTATACACTGTTGGAAATTTTCTTCTGAATTTTCCGTGCCAAGTCCTGGAAATTGGATGGTTTTTAATTTCCACGGAAATTTCAAGAAAATTCGACATTGAAAAATCAAATATTCCATTGATTTTCTGTTCGAATGATCTGAAAATCAATGAAATACTTCATTTTTCAGTTCAATCATTCCACGAAAATTCATAAAAATCAGGAGAATTCAAGGAAGAATGAAAATTCAATCAAGTTGTGAAATTTTCATCCCACTCCCACTGAAAACCGAGTTTCCTTGTATTCTACCTAAAACTTGAATTTTCATAACCGTTTTCCTCTCTTATGAGAATTACTATCATATTTTTCATAAAATTTCAAACAATTTCTAACGGTGTATTAACGAAGATGAATTAATCACTGGAGGGATTCATCGGAAACTTCGGGAGGAATAAACTTTGGATTCACCTTTCAGTAAAATGAGAAAAATAAA